ACTGGGCTGTGCTCGGGGCAGGCAGTGGTGGCGCTGGGAGGAGGGGCTATGGTGAAATTTGTGGTGGCTGCAGCCCCCCGCATCCCCCTTCCCAGTGCCGCCGCCACCCAGCCCAAGTGCAGTCCCAGCCCAACCCCCCCATACACTGGGAAGAGTCCAGCACAGCCCCAACCACAGCCCACAGCTACAGTCCCCTTCTTCCCACACAGATCTGGGGGCACATGCCCCCCATGCCTTCCCGGGGTGTGTATAGTGGCAGGAGCCATCCCCCCCCAACCCTCCTCACGCCCCCTAGATGAACAGTGGCTCCATCCCATGCCACAGCCTGCCCTGGCTGGGCAGCACTTATCCCTGCCCCAGCCCCACTCCCTCCTTCACCACAGGCGCCTTGATCTGCCCCTCCCATGCCCCTTCCCTCCCCGCTCCCTGTCCAGCACAACAGACTTACCAGTAGTACACAGCTGCATCAGAAATCAGATCGGTATCAGCCAATATGCCTCCTTAAAAATCAGCTGTTGGTATCGGGCCCCAAAATCGCTATCGGTGAGCCCCTAGATACCAGTAGTGTCAAATAGGGCTGTTGGTGTCAGTCACATCATGTGCAAGAATATAGCCAATTTGAGAAATCAGGAGGAAAATGTCAGTTTTAGTTGGGGTGTACAAGTAGCAGAGAAGCTGGCAGAATGGTGCAAGAAGGCCTTGTCCCATAGGAAGTGTCTTGGGAAGTGAAACTGAGAGCAAAGGAGCCTGGCCTGTGGATAGTTTGCTTTCTTTTTGTGTGTTAGAAAGATCTGTGACTTTAAATATATGACTTAGATAAATACATGGGGGAGGGGAGGGCGGAGGACATGCACAGCAGCTGGGCACACAAACAGTTTGTGTACTGGGACATAAAAAGAAACTGAGACTAGGAGAACAGGGAATTATAAAGAGCAAGCAGAGGTCTCATAGGTATGACTTTTTGACCTTAAAGGTAACATGTGATTCCAGGTAGTTCAGCAAGGGAAGTACGTACCTCTCCTGCCCAAAGCAAATTGACACCAGGCATCTTGCCAGCATCACACTTAAATGCTTCATCACTTGATTTCTTCTCTTCCGCAGGGTCATCTGAGCGAGGGCTATGGACAGCTATGCAGCATCTACCTCAAACTGCTGAGAACAAAAATGGAATTCCATATAAAAGTGAGCCTGCTTGCCCATTCCACTTCCTCCTCCAAACACATTATTTTCTAGGTACCCTCTGAGGCATTGGGTGTTGGCTACAGCCAAGGCTAGGGATTGCGGCTGTGGTGTGCCAGTGCTCCTGCTGGGACCGAAGCCAGAAGTTCCTGGCTAAAGGGTCTTGCCCCGCTGCTCAGGGTCAGGCTGATTTCTATATTTGGGGCCAGGAAGGAACTGGTCAGACTGGTATGGACTGTGGGGATTTTTGTCTTCCTCTGTAGTAGGGGACATGGCCCTCTACTCAGGATCTCTTGAGCATACATTGACAACATTTTATAGAAGCAGGACATTGGCTGCTGTGGTTCCCCTCCTTTATCTGTGGCAGGTTTGAGTGTTAGGTCTGTGTTGTGTCCAGGTTGATGGTAGTCTTATGTAGAGTTTAGATTATGGTTTGTATAAAATGGCTTAGATAGGGATGGTAGGATGCTAGAATCCCTTCCAGCCCTACTTCTCTATGATTCTACCCTGGTCTGGTTTCATTCAGTGAGTGAAAGGGCTCTAGAAGTTCCACTCCTTGGGTTCCCCATGTGTCCATGCTTCTCTATTGGGAGGTAAGCTGGAAAGCAGAGCTATCACTCATATTGCACGATGTATCACTTGCTTTTCAGCCAACGCACGTCCTTATCATGTTAGAACTGAGCCCTCTTCACTGACATCTAGCTCTGGAGAACTAGAGATGATTCTTGCGGTCCTTTGGGTCAACTGTTAGAATGATGTTGTGGAGTCTTGTGTGATGCCGAGTCCCAGAGCCAAATGACCCTGCTTTGACAGTATATGTGCCCCTGCTGGGATGTAGAGTACTATCTTGGTCTAGAAACTACAACTGGTCTTTCAGTTGTTGGTACTGTGTCTTGCTGCATGTGCTGGTTAGCTGGAGGGGGCAATCTGTGAAATCAATTGTTGAGCTCCTTGCTTCATAGCATGCTCGCTCTTAGTTGAGGTCTCTGCCAGGAAGTGCCAGGCCTTGTAGTGTTGTTTGCCTTTGCATTGAGGTACAGCATTCCAAGCCAGCCACATACTGAGAGAGCTGGACATTCTACCCCAGGGGTGGGCAAAATGCGGCCCTGGGGCCAGATGCGGCCCACCAGGCCTTTCTATCCGGCCTGCGGGGCCCCTAAAAAATTTAGAAAATTAATATTAACCTGCCCAGAGCTGCCTGTCACGCGGCCCTCAATGGCTTGCCAAAACTCAGTAAGCAGCCCTCTGCCCAAAATAATTGCCCGCCGCGTTCTACCTTGTGGTAGAGAATGGGCTGAGCAGTGTACCAGTGGTGCATTGGGAAACTGTATGCTGAAACACGCACATAAGTTGTAAAATGACATGAATGGCTGTGAGTATTGAGTGCAAAACCTAACTACACAAGGAAGCTAGTGCACAGTAAACTGGAGCATGAATTTACAGCACAGTCTACCTACTCTGTACTGACTCCCCCCTGTGGAGCTCCCAGGGCACACTGAGGCCCCTCGCAGATATAACATTTATTGTGCGATCACCATGTTAATCACAGAATAAGTTGTAACATGTGACATGTTTAGCCAATTTATTGCACCCTAAAATGGCAAAATAGCCACAAATGTGTTCCATATTTTGGAACTTAACGTGGAGCATCTTTGTGGCTAGTTTGTGTGGCACATTAATTTGAAAGTGTTGCATGTTCTGCCTTGCCTTCACCAGTTTCTTTACATGCCTCTTAAACTGTGGGACTCCACATTGGACAAAGTATCCCAGCTGAAGCCTAACCACTGCTATGTAGAGTGAGTCTTTTGCCTCTTGTGGCTTACATAAAATAATGTTGTTGATGCATCCCCAAAAGTGCATTTCCTTGTCTGTAACAGCATCATACTGCTACCTCAAGTGGAGTTTGAAATCCACTATAACTTCAAATCCTTTTCACTAGAGCTCCTGCCGAGCCAGTTATTTCCATTTTTTACACTTCTGCATTTGGTTTTTGTTCCCAAAGTACAGTACTTGACATTTGTCTTTGCTAAAGTCTGATGCTCTGCCAACTGAGTTAGCCAGTCCAGGCAATTAACCTGCACTTGAATCTCAGCTGTACAGTTATAAAGCATTTGCTCCCGATGACTCTGAGCAGTTGGAATAGCATAATTCTGGCTGACTTCTTACCCATCTGAATTCTTGTGCCCAGCATCTCCAAAGCTCCCCCAAGCAGTTCCAAGACCGTGTGTCTTCCTTTTGTACCAGTGCCTAGTTTCTTGCATCATAATTGACGTGCTCAGCTGAACTCAGTACAGAAAGAGTCCTTATATCTTAGTTCTTCCCTGGGATTAAAAGTAACCAATGGAATGGAGCCTTGCATGGTTTTGGACTCAAGTGTGAGAAGCAACTTTCTCTCCCTAGGGCACTGCAGTATTTGGGATCTGCAGAGATGTTCCTGCAGGTAGGTACCTCCTTTTCCCTAAAAGGGAGGGAGATTAATGGCAGGCAAGGCCTATGACATTAGGATTTGTTTCTCCCTCTGGATCTGTCAGATGACAGATGTTTAACTTCTTGAAGCAGGCTGCAGGTCCAAGCTTTTCTCTGGCTGATGAGTGTAGATGGAAAGGACTCTTTATATCACAATCATTAAGGGGTTCAGTACAAACCAACTGTTATCATCCTAATCCAAGGAGGTGACTACTGAGATGCCCAGATGCTTCAGGATTGGGGACATGAACCATATCTAGTTTCTTCCCAGAGAACACTCCATGTGTTCATCCTCTGAGTATCATCTGTCTAAGAATGGAATCTGCATGTCTGAGTTACTTTTTATTAGCCCCCTTCCAGGTAACTCCCTGCATTGCCTTGTTCTTTCACTGTCCCAGCTTCTCCCTAGTGAATCCAGCTCTAACTGGCAGTAGACCACTGCACACAAATGCAATACCCCTCCCCACAACCTTGATTCCCTCCCCTCCATACTGCTGTGGAAGGGAGGGAAGCAGATGTGTCCTTAGGGTTGTCTAGTTTGGAACACCCCCCCCCGGCCCCCCCCCCCCCCCCCCCCATTGTGCACACTCTTACTCTGCTATAAGAATGAGAACTTTCAGTATAGCTAAACCGTCCCCATGTTGAAACCCACTGCATGTCAGTTCTTGTGTTGGTCAGAGAGAAGCCCAGGCCCATGAATGCAGGAATCAGGCTTCCAGCAGGTGTTTCAGCCAGGTTTCAGTTCCCTGTTTGAGAACAGACGACCAGATCCTCTTCTCAGCTAACACTCATGGAAGGATCCAACCCAGGTAAGCCAGCAAGGGAGTATGGACAAAGGAAGCAATGGCACTTTGCTTTGAAAATGGCACTTTGCTTTGAAAAGTGTACTCCAGGATAGCTGCATTGGTCTAAACTCACCTCTTGGGTTTTGAGTTAAAAAGTGCCCAAAGTCCTAAGACTTTGCTGTTGAAGAGGGAAAGTCAAGGGGTTATTGAAAGTAACTTTTCTGGGTGATCTGTCCCCTAGGCAAAAAATACCAGCATGTAGTCAGGAAGTTGGACACCCCTACATATTCCTCTATGGGAGGTATTGGGTGGAGGAGTGCAGATAAGAGCTCTCTGGACCCTTGCACCAAGATACTGCCTCCCTGGGTTCCTTTTCTCCATGGCAACATTGCTCCCTCTGGAAATCCCACTGACAAAGGCCCCAGCACAAATGGAACCCATGACACTTTATCCCAGTTTGCCCGGCAGCAGTCCCTATAAAGACCCAGATATGGATTCATGGGGGACTGACACCACAGAACAACTTGTGCACACCTGCAGGGGCTGGGGTCTACAAAAGATGACTGGATATGTGGGATCCTGTGACATTGAGAAGCATCCCATGATGCCATTGCTTCCTTTATCCATACTCCCTTGCTGGCTTCCCTGGGTTGGATCCTTCCATGGGTGTTAGCTGAGAAGGGGATCTGGTCGTCTGTTCTCAAACAGGGAACTGAAACCTGGCCGAAACACCTGCTGGAAGCCTGATTCCTGCAATCATGTGCCTGGACTTCTCTCTGAGCAACATAAGAACTGATATTCAGCGGGTTTCAACATCTGCTTCACACTATGCTGCAAGGAATAGGAGCGTACAAGTGCAGTTCATGAGGCTTGCTCTTCAGGAATGATGCTTGCCCCAGAAATCTATGCTAGACAACACCACAAAGCTTCCTCAAGCCTTGGGTTCAGTCCAGCTCTTTTAACCTGGCCTGCCCATGGGCATCCTTTGCCCACAGACTCCCAGAAAGTCCAGTACATAGTTGCTTGTGGGGAAATTGAGCTGAACTGCAGCCCTGTTCTCCAGGGAGCAAGCAGTGCCCCAGTCCATAATCTGATTCCATGTCTCCCCACTCTGCAGTTCCAGGGTTTCAGAAGTCTCTTCCAACTTATTACTTACAGTAAGAGTTTTCTTTCAAGAAAAAAATTAAAAATATTGGTCAAATATGCTGCAACTTTATTGCAATTAAATCCAGGCTATTGTGTTGCCTTTCATGCAGCCAGAAGGTAAGATTTTACGCTTTGACTGGTGTCCACTTGTACTCATTAAACATCCCTGGGCACTCTGCTTATGAATTGGAGCAACAATCCCATTGCCCTGGCTGTATTCTAGTGTGGCTAATTACAGGTTTCATACTGATGATTGCATCCCATCCCAAACTCAGGCACACTGCTGCCATGAGCAGTGCAAGGTGCTACCATTCACACCAAGGGTGGATGCTAGATGATAACTGACTGCAGTTTATGTGGCACTTGGGCAATATCTTTTTAAAACTGCATAAACATAAGTATCCCCAAATGCAGTATTTTTACCCATGAAAGTCTGCAAAAGATAGTGCCGGGGTAGTTCCACAACAATAACAAGATTCCTGGGCTTGTATACATCCATGAACTGTAGCCCAGGGCTTGCAGGATCTGTGGTGTGGGATTATACTGCACCATCAGGCAGTGGTGGGGAGCGGGGGATTTGCATTACCTCTTGGGACTCTTTATTATAATTACTTCAATTGGCTTACTACTTAAGAGGGGCCTGACTCACAAACACCTTAATCTTCCCAAAATCTAAATCTAATCAGAGCTGTATAGTCCTCCTTTGAAACCGTCTGGAGAGGATAATCTGATTATCAAGGTGACATATAGAAGAGGCTTCATCTTCTGGAGCAATGGCGCCAGCTCCTCCCCATGCACACAGCATACAGACCCTCCGCATGGTCATTACATCTGCAGCTGGGAACATCCTGGTTCTTATGAAATCTAACTGAAAAGTGTCAGACAAACAGGCTAGATGCTACTCAGCTGATGTAGTTGCCCTGCTGGCCTGTACCCCTCTTTTTGCAGGACCATAGGACCAATAGTCTAGGCATCAGTACAGAAAACTGGGGTTCCCAACGGAATGGTAATGAGATACGGATCTTTATGGGTCTAGCTCAGCCATTGCTTTCCCACTAGCTGTCTGATGGCCAGTTTGACAAATTGCTGGCCTCTGTTTAGTTTCTAGTGAGCAATTTTCCAGACCACATTTAGAACCTCTGAGTCTCATCAGGGGCTATTGGGGACTCTACTCCCCTCTTACTCCTAGGGGACAGGGTTTGGCAACCATTCCTGGCATCCTACCAGGAGCAGGTAGCCTTCTAAAAAGGTTGAGAACCTTTGGACTCAAGGGCCCCCTACATTACTTTTGGGAATTGAGCAGCACCCAATTTTAAAAAACGAATTTATCTATTACAGTGTTTATCTCTGCAGAGGAGTGGGGGAACAGCCAGGCAGTGATGAGCCGGAGCCTGCAGTTATCTGCTTTGCTCCTCACACCTCACAATACTCTTTAAAACATCTTGCAGTATCCCAGTTGAGAATCACTGCTCACTAGTTTGGCAGCTTACCTACTTGTCTCTAAGGCTTCAGGCCTCTCCAGGAGACAACAGCAAGTGTCAGGAGTCACCAGTCTATTCAGACACGCTTTGGAGAAGGATGCGTCTGTGCTGAATTTAACTTCCCTAGCTATGGAGATCTCTTTCTTGGGAGTCCCTCACTTCCATCAGGCCACAGAGGCTCTGCAGAAGCAGGAGCAACCTGTACAGCCTGATGAAGGAGTGTGAGCAGTCAGCAGTGAGCAAATACTGTTGTGGGGCAGGGAGGAGTGAGAAGGAGTTGCCCTCAAGTGGAGCCCTGAGCTTTGTCAGGGCAGAGTTCTCCCATATAGTCCTTTCTAGTTCAGAGCAGCACTGCTACGTAAAGTTGGACTTTGCTGAATAACCTAGGGATGGCTGTTTGGTGTGCTGTGCAATGTGCTAGGTTTTGAATACTGCTGACCCAAGATACTTGGATAAGCGGAAACCTAGTGGCCTTAGGTTGCTGTCTAGTTCACTTGAACCCTATAATGCACATGTTTGTATAATGTAGTAGTATCTATCGCCCTGCATTTAATATGATTCTTTGGCACTCTTGATGGACCCAGTGGAGTAACTTGTAAAAGCTAAGGAAGAAATACTGGCTGATGAGTCTTCCTCTAAGGGGAGGAAGTTGTTCTGTGCAAACCTGAGCAAAGCACAGCAAGTGAAATACAGTCCCCTTCCTTACATCCCCAAGTTTTGGAAGCCAGTTCTGTACCATGCCTCCACACAAAAAAAGAAGGAAACTGATCTGAACCCCTTCCTTTGGGTGTCAGAGGCTGTTGCCTTTCACATGTGGGAAAAGGGGAGACTGATGATGCTCGTACTGGAAGCCATTACCCTCAGTTATCATCAGAGTTGCCTGCTTGGTCTCCACTAAGATCAAACCCAGAGCAGTAGTGTTCCCCCAGAGGCCCTTTTCCTGACTCCCCCCTCTTTTTCCTCCTGTGTAGAACCCTAGGTTCCCTGGCAATCTCCAGATGTCTGACCGGCAGCTCGACGAGGCAGGAGAAAAAGATGTCAATAACTTGTAAGTCCGGCATATGTGAATTGGGGTACTATGGGGAACAATTTCAGCCCGTTCAGAGAACCCAAGTTCAGGGGGTGCCTTGAAAGGTCTCCATGACTAACCGAATACAGTCTGTGCCAGCCTGCCATTTCCTTGTTCTTGCTTCTGTGGGAGAGTCCTAGACAAAGCAGCTGGCCTGTAATAAAAGCCTTGATGTCTTGGTTGGGTTCTCTTTGCTTCCTGGCCGCAGTTTTGTGACTAGGAATGATCATGCCTTGTTAAGTCACAGTGAACTTCATAGACAGGGCTGTCTGTAACTGAGCCTTGAAATGTGCACCCTGACAGGCTGCATTTGAGAACTGTGCTACCATGTGTGCCCACTGACTGGTGCTAAGATGTCCCTCTTGAGTATCCTTTATAAAACACTACTGTGGTATTCTACAGTAATGATGAGATTGAATCCCCTCCAGTGCCTTTGTGGGTGGGAGCCGCTAGGTGGACTACCCTCCCTCCGCCCCCCTCTCCATACACACAGGGCTTTTTATGGATGGGGAGGCTTCTTTTTTAATGCTCTTGTTCTGTTGTTTCTAGTTTCCAGTTGACAGTGGAGATGTTTGATTATTTGGAGTGTGAGCTGAACCTGTTCCAGACAGGTAAGACTCCTACTTCAATTAACTAGCAGCTTGTTCTGTGTTGTTGACATACATTAAAAAAAACCACAAGCAAACTTGTGGTCTGCCCTTCTGAGAGAAGCTCTGGTAGCAAAATGAAGACAAGCATCTATGTATGGGAGTGAGCTCAGACTTGGTGTTCCAATTTAAAGGTGTGTAAATTTGGTGTCCCAGTTTAAAGGGCCATGTGTGTGTATGTGCACTCATTGGGAGAGGTGTGGGATGACCTTTCGGGGAGACATCTGTATCTGTGTGTATCTCTGGCAGGGGGTGCATGTGTGTGTATCCTTAAGTCTGTATGCATCTCCTACTAAGTTTCAGGCTACAAGAGAGGAGTTGACTACACTTCCTCTCTGTGTCCTTCATGGTTTTTTTTCCCCTGTCTCCAAGTCTGTCACTCTGTCAACCTCCTGGGGTTTGATTTCTTCCTTTCTCTTGTTACCTCTGGGTGTTAGGGTTGGTTATGGCTTTTACTAACACTCTTCTTTTTCCAGATGTATTAGAGAGGTACTGCTGCACTTCAAAGTTTGCTGTGGTAGAGGGAATGCAGCTGGTTCTGTGATGCATGCTCCTACAGGTTGTAACTGAGTGAGAGAGAAAATAATGAGCCTGTCTGTATGATCAGGGGCTCAGGTGCTCAGCTGTAATATGCCTCTGTGCAGAGCCATAGGATTCTGTTTTGGGGCACATTAAAGCAGCACCAGAGCAATTACCTTTTTGATGTGCTGTGTAGGGCCTTGGGCACTCTTGCTATATACATAGATGAGGCATGTAATGACCTTGCAGCGGGGGTAAAGCAATTTGTCACTGCATGGAGGTTCCCAGAAGGTTTGATTTAATGTAAGAGAGGTAATATGGTTGGTTCCTAGCACAGAGGGCTCCCAGAGGGTGTGCTTGATTAGTCAGAATAGTACAGTCACCTCTGTGCTAAAAGCTAGAGAAACTGAGCTAGTGTACAGCAGAGGTAATGCAGCCATGTCTCAGTGCTGAAGGGCCTGAGATGCTGTGCTACTACATGTTTTATGGAATGTAGTCATGGCCCTGAAAGCAGACTCTAGTGCAGTATCACTGATGTATCTTCCAGTGAGCAGCTGCACATATGCTGAAATATAGTGGAGGTAATGCAGCCAGCTCCCCAGACTGCAGGTTGCCAGAATCTGGGCTGGGATATAGCTGAAGTGACCTGGTCATGTCTGTTAGCGGTTCACAGCACAGTTACTGAACAGAACAGATAGTTATGCCTGTTTGTCAGTTTCCCAGAGGCCATGGTATAACAGAGATGATGCTTTTGTCCCTTATGGGAGTTGTGGTTTGATACAGCTTGGGTAATGCAGATTCTTGGAGGTGCATGGTTCAGGTTGCTATGATGAGAGCTAGCAGGAGCAGTTCATAAATCCTGCCATATCTCAGTACTCTCAGCAACTTTGTGTCCTGATAGAAGATGATGACAATGTGATCATGCTGTGGAATAAGCTAAGAATGGACAATAAAAACAGATGGGTCCAAGGATCAAGCCCCCAACAGCAAGTGATCCTGTTGCAGGTGCTGGAGGAGGTTGTTTCCCCATAGACCAGTGATTCTTAGCCAGGGAGTCATGGCACTCTGGGGTGCCTTGATATCCTTTCAAGAGTGCCGCTGAGTGCTACGCAATGTTAGTAGGTTTGCAAACATGATTGAAAAGATAAATCCAGAAATTTAAAATAGGAATCCATAGTGTTAAAACATTCTGACCTGTTGTGGGCTTTCTGAGTTCTTTGAAACAAAGTAATTGCTCTATTACTTTTCTATAGTAAAAAAAAAAGAGTGAAAGCTAAGAACTGGCATTTTCTGAGGGGTACCTTGAGTGTGTTGAGGTGTACCTTGCTTCTAAAAAGGGTGACAATGCCCGTCTAATATGTGCAGTCAATGGAATCTCACTGAACTGAACAGCCTCTTCCATCTGAGACTCTCCAAGTATGGTCCCTGGTACCAACTGGGTTTTGGTCCCCCACACTAGGGTTTTAACTTGCTGATGCAGGGAAAGCCTGGGATCATAATCCAAGGCTCCCCCTGCACTGGCAAGTAGGGACTAGATCCCAATTGTGCCTTGATCCCAAAATCACATGTCCTGCCATGCAGATTGAGCAAATACTAATGAACTGAGCCTCCCAGTGTACAAGATGGTAGAATGAGGGACATGGGGCTGTTCAGGGACTTGACCAAGGTCACAAGGCAAGTTTCTGGCAGAGATAAGAGAAGACCTAAATTTCCTGACCATCAGCCCTAGACTTTTAGCTTTATGCTCCTTTCCTTTCTCCCACATCCATGATTCCCTGACTGCTGTCTACAGTGCAGCAATACAAATGCAGTTGTGTCTCCAAGTGTTCTGGGTTCTATGTATCCACCCTACAATGTCTCTGCATCCATGCATTGCATCTCTGACACTCCTCCATGCATACTACAGCTGGTAGCTTTTTAGTGATGTTGAATTTCAGCTTTTAGCTGTTAGCCCAGGGGTGAGCAAAATACAGCCTGTGGGCCAAATCCGTCCCACCAACTGACTGGATCCAGCCCACAGCTGTACTCACAGCACTCTACATGGGGCTGAGCCCAACCTGCTCCGGCTGTGGCAGCCCACGCCACACTCCTTCCAGCCCAGGCCCTGGCCAGCGCACAGCTTCTGGCAGGGCTGTCATGTCTGCAGCTAGCCAAGTGCTGCTTTGCTTCCTTACCTCCAGTGGGAACCGCCCAACTGAAGCGTCCCCCCAGTCACCTGCCCAGAGCATAGCAGCAGGGGCAGGGGCAGGAGCAGGAGGAGGAGCCACTGTTGGAGACGAGAGGAACAGAGCAGCACATGGCTGGCTGCAGCTGCACCAGGAAGAGCCCCACAGCTGTGTGCGCTGGCCAGGAGAGGCTATTCTGCTCCCCTCTCTTCCATTGGCAGCTCCTCCTCCTACCCCTTCTGTGCCACTCTGAGCAGAGTGGGGAGAGGGGAGTTTCAGCCAGGTGGTTCCTGCCCCAGCACATGGAACTCCAACACCAGTTCCTGACTGCCTTCCTTCCACCTGCTCTGTCCACCTGGTGTGATGATCAGCCAGCCACCTGCGAGCAGATGGAAATCTGCTAGGAGCTGGAGTCAAAGTCCCACCTGCTGGGGCAGGAGCCACCCAGCTGAAGCTTCCCTCCTGCCTGTCCGGAGCAGCATAGCAGGGGCAGGAGCAGGACCAGCAGCTGCAGCTGGAGGTGATAAGAGAAGAACATCCCCACCAGCCTGGGCCCCAGCTAGCGCGTGCAGCTTCCAGATGTACCAGAGGGTGGGGCTGTTCTCAGTGTGACTGCAGCCGGCCATGTGCTGCTCTGCTCCCCTTACCCTCAGCAGCAATTCCTCCTCCCGCTCCTGCCCCTTCTGCATCCCTCTGGGTGGGAAGGCGGGGAAGCTTCAGCCTGGTGGCTCCTGGAAGTGAGGGGAGCAGAGCAGCACCCAGCTGGCTGCAGCCACACTGGGAGTAGCTCCACCAGAAGCTGCACGCTGACAGGGGCCCATGGCAACGCTGGGGCTGGGGCCAGCAGCTGTGGGTGAGAGCATGGCACGGGCTGCCCTGGGTGGGGCTCGGCTCCATGCAGAGTGCTGCTGGGGTAGCCACGGTCCAAGCGAGCTCTGCTGCACACACTGTCCACCGCCCCCTCCCTCCCCTCACCCCTGGCTGGCTCTCAGGCAGCCCCGCCTTCCACACACACCCATACGCCCACCTCCCCCTGCCATTCCCAAGGGGCATGCAGGAAGTGGATCACACCCATCCCATGGCTGAACACTGCTGCGGGGGTGGGAGCATGCTGACCCAGCCCACAACAACATATCAAAACTCACTATGTGGCCTTTGGGCCCAAATAATTACCCTGTATTAACCAAGTGAATTAAGTAGGAATAATATCAGTTATACCCATTTACATCTCATTAGTGTACTTTAGCTTTTGATTTACTGTTAAAATGCCTTTCAACATCCCTCATAATTATGGAGGATGTCAGTTCATTACTTTCTATGCTCTGAAGGGAAGGGCAGGTTGGCAGAATTTAAAATAGGTCCCTAAGGCATTTGTACACATGCTTGTGCCTCAGTGCCGGATGCTTTTAAAAGCACATGGTGCTGCGGCTCATGCAGTTGTATAAGCAGTGAAATGCACGTCAGTGCTGAGAAAATGGCAGCGGTGCACTTTTGAACTAAAACACTTTCAATGAGTTTTAGCTCAAAAGCATGCTGCCATTATCTGCACACTGATGCTCATTTTGCCAATTATACAACTGCACACGGTACAGCGCAGTGCATGTCAGCTCGCATGTGGAGCAGACTTATTTAATCTAGTCTGCTCCAACCTGTTGGATCCCAGCTCATTGCAGGACAAAAAGGTATATGTCTAAATGCCTCTAGTTCCTGAAGCCTGAGCATGGCTGAAGTTCTGATTACCCTGTGGTGTTCAGCATTAGGTAAGGTAAGAGCAGGCATGAGAGGTGCATTTGTATGACTTGGTCCCCAGGGAAAGATATAATGCTCCTCCTTGGGCCCCTGATATGCATTACATTTAAGACACAATCAACAGGCTAATCACACCTTACATAGTAACCTGGCCACATGTGCAAGTCAATTTAAGGCATAATAATACAGTAAATGAGCCACAAACTAATTCTGCACATTATGTGTAATAGATTTGTGGCTCATTTTTCATCATGCCTTAAACTGAATATGTGGCCAGTTGGTGCTGACCCATGGCAGATCCCGACATTAGGATGAGGCCCAGTCCAGCATGTGACCAAGGGTCTGGGACACAGTCCCTGACAGAACCAGTCCCTGGATCGGAGGACCTGCTTTTACAAGTTCCAGTGCACGTAGATCATGGGATCAGACTGCAGGAGCCCAATCATGGGAACCCCATACCAGGGTATGAATAGAACTGGGCAGCAAGCAAGGAGTTTACAGCTCTGCATACAAGGCTGTCACAATCCAGCT